TTGCTTTGTAGGCATTCCATTTCAGAGCTTGCTTTACAGGCATTCTATTTCAGGGTTTGCTTTGTAGGCATTCGATTTCAGAGATTACTTTGTAGGCATTCCATTTCAGAGTTTGCTTTCTATATATTTTCAGGGTTTGCCTTCTACTTTTCAGGGTTTGCCTTCTACTTTTCAGGGTTTGCTTTGTAGGCATTCTATTTCAGGGTTTACTTTGTAGGCATTACATTTCAGAGACTACTTTATTGGCATTCCATTTCAGAGTTTGCTTTGCAGGCATTCTATTTTAGGGTTTGCTTTGTAGGCATTCTATTTCAGGGTTTGCTTTGTAGGCATTCCACTTCAGAGATTACTCTGTAGCCATTCTATTTCAGAGATTACTTTGTAGGCATTCCATTTCAGAGTTTGCTTTGCAGGCATTCCATTTCAGAACTTGCTTTGGAGGCATTCTATTTCAGAGCTTATGTTCCGATCCAGACATTCCTTTCCAGGGATTGTAATTTCAGGTTCACTGAGTAAAGAGCCTTGTTGTGGAGAGGAACAGATACATATACAGAGTAAGAGACCTTTACAACAGAAAACCGGGCAGATACAGATACAGAAAATCAGACTGTAGCAGAATTCCAGAGAGATACAGAGATTTATAAAATTATAGACACTGAAGCAGATATAGACACTAATTGCAAGATATTTGGTGGCAAGAATATTGATTCAAAGACACTGGAGATATAGTCAACATCAAGCCAGAGACATTTTCGGTTTATTTTGTAAAATATTGTGGGCTAATAACAGCCAAAATAGAGTTAACTTCTTTTTATATATAAACTTGAAATACTGTGTTTGTCACTATTTATAGGCAGTAGGCTCGGCTCAAGTAAAGTGTCAACTGACCCCGACACGCCCAAAGACGTCTCACCCCTATATAAACAAACGAACCCCAACCTTCCAAAATCATAACATCACACACACACTACCGCGGAAGTTGGAGCCGTTCGTTACAGTACTGATTGGAAGCCAGTGGCTTACGGTAGCAAATCCCTTACGGAATGTTAAAAAAGATGGGCCCAGATAGAAAAAGAATGGGATTAGTTGAAGGGTGCAAAAAATTTCATGAATACATATATGGGATGGATAAAATTGAACTTGAAACAGATCATAAGCCTTTGATACGAATATCCCAGAAAAAATTCAATGACATGACCCCAAGGTTACAAAGGTTGTTCATAAAACTGCAAAAATATGATTATACAATGATATACACCCCTGGAAAAAACTTGGTACTAGCAGACACCCTCAGTAGAGCAAGTTTCAGACCAAAAAGATCAGAACCAAGAGTTTCAAAACTAGATATCAAAATACCTGTCTCAGAGAACATAATGAGAAAAATCCAAATAGAAACAAAGAAAGATCCCATATTATCCAAGATTATTGACTATGTAAGAAATGATTGGGAAAAGGGGTCAGAGAAAATATACTCACAAATGAAACATGAAATTACTGGAGTGGATGATATTCTTTTGAGAGGGCAAACAGTAATTATCCCAAAAAGCATGAGGAAGGAAATATTGAATAGGGTCCATGAAGGTCACTTCGGAGTAGAAAAGTGTAAGCGAATAGCTAGAAAATCAGTATACTGGCCAGGCATTAATATTGATATCTCAGACATGATAGGTAAGTGCGAAACACGTCTTGAGCTGAAGTACAACAATGCAAAACAGCCATTGATAAATGGTGGCAAAACAAAAGGCCCCTGGGAAAAGGTTGAAATAGACCTTTTCAAACTCTTTGATAAGGACTATCTTTTAGTGACTGATTATTTCTCAAACTACCCAGAATGTGTTCATCTGTCAAGTACAAAGGCAAAAGACATTATATGGACATATTATACTTTATGAGGCCAAGTGGAGTCTGTTATTCACTTAATTAGTATGTGTAGAGTTTTACCTGTCTGCCGCTTAGATTTTGTTATTCCAGAGTGACGGAAATGACGTAAGCAGAAGTAGGTAAATTCAACCAATGAGAAGCGAGGTAAGTATTTGCTCCGTTTGATTGGCGCCATCAAGTATTACACATGAAACTAAATTTGTTCTGCAAAGTAAGAAGATTTAGAAGGTACGCACATTGTTTTATAAGTAGTATTTGGAAGCAGTTGGTTTGTGATTATCAGTGATTTATTAAGTTAGCTTACCGTTACATGTGACGGTCGCATAGTTCCATATTTCATGGAAAATAGGTAGAAGTAATGTATTATCGCCCAATGCATATTTTTTCCTTTTAACTTAGTTTTTTTTTTAAAATTATTAAGTTACGGTAATGTTAGTGTTCCGTCGAAAAGACAATAGTATAATAAAATAGGAAAACAATTAAAAGTCATTAAGGAATACGATTATCCAATCTACATTTTACAGAAAAGCTGGTAGGATGGACAGATGTTTGGCCTTGGGTCATTCCTATATTCTAGAAACCCAGAATCGGTGCTTACAGTCGCCGATATTGCTAAAATCAGAAAGAAAAGGAATTGACTATGAATTTCTGGGAGAGCCGGGTGGCAAAACAGACCAGATGGAAGCATTGTTTAAGACAGTAGACACGAGCACGTACCAGATGATTTATCTACAGGTTGGGGGGCAATGACCTGAATAAAGTTATAAAGAAGGGAAATGTAGTGCCAGTTGAAAGTGCGGCAGAAGAAAAAGCTACGGCAATAATGAACCTAGCAAAATCTATAAAAAATAAGATGAAGGAAAAAACAGTTGTTTGTATAGGTCAATTAATTGAAAGAGACATAACAATTACAAAAAAAAGAAGAAAAACGGTAGATGGACCAAAAAATGGATCAAAAATGAAGATGAGAAAAATATATATAATGAATTGATCCATATGATTAACAAATTGCTAATAAACAAAGAAAAAAATAAAATAGGGATAAAATTTTGGGAAATACGGAGAGCAGACAAAATGAAAACGAAGGATGGGACGCATCTTGACAGTCCAAGTTTAGAACAATATGCTAAGCGAGGTTTAAAATCGGCTGCCTTGCATGTACTATCAAAGCTGGGTAGGTATTTAAACAAACAATAATGGTCCACATGCAGTGATAACGTTATACAAATAATAGTTTTTATAATGCTAAAGAATTATATTACAATTTCTCAGTTAGAGAATGTGAAGGGATTTGAGTAAGAGCAATTATTATGAAACCGTTCAATATTAGGTTACAATAGAAACGTTAGTCTATTAACACATAATAATACTACAGTTATCCTTAAAAGCACAGATATCCCTTATGCAGTTATGGGGAGAAACAATTCATAATGCCATATATGGATAAATTGACACATGGAAGTATAATGAACATTATCTAGTTATAAGTTTAGGTTAGAACAAAACCGGTACAGTTAGCCCAGGTTCAGCTACAGGGGTAAAGTTATTATCAATTTATGGGACAGTTATCCCTTGTAAAGTTATGGGGTGAAATTATTTATTTGCCATATAATGATATAGTTATCCATTATAGATCAGTGGAACTTCATGTAGCTAAAAGTTATTAGCTTTATCATACATTGGTACAGTTAGCCCTTGTCCAGTTACAGGGCGTAATAGTTATTATTATCATGGAATGGTCAGTTATCCCTTGTCCAGTTACGGGGTGAAATTAATTAATGCCATTTATTGATGATAGTTACCCATGAAGTAAAAACAAGGAAGGCAAAGTAAGGTGGAAAATTTCCAAACTTGAAACAAGCACAATGCAATGACAGCAATGGGAAAGCACGTGCATTTGCCCTGGAGTCGTTCATTCATACATTCACCATTTGATTCCTTGTAATACTGAATGGGAAGTTTAGGGCTATAATGGAGGGTGAATAAGTTGTACATTACATACATAAATACATATTACATACAAGTAGAAATACATTAATGCAATTTGTTGAATAATCTATATAATGGGGTTGTTTCTAGAACATGGCAAGAAAGAGAGCAAGAAAAGAAGGAGCAAAAAAGGAAGAAAGATCCTCAAAGGAGAAAAACAAAATTAAAACAAGGTCAAAGAATGGGATTGTAAAAAAGAAAGATCGGAACAGGAGTTTTGTGTGGACAGTGACCCCAAATAAATCACAAAATTTAGTAGCAAATGACACTTCTCCTGAGTTCAACAATAGGAACTTATCAACACAGCTACGAGAACAACCAGGTCAGCAAATGTCAGTACAGAACATGTCACCCATATATCAAAAATCAGCAGCACTATAACCAATCATGATCAGTTTGGCCAGGAGGGTACGCATCGTCAGTAGGATTGCCTCATGACGTTTCGGACCTTAGGCCTGCTGAGAGGATACAACAAAATCCAACCATGATGACACCAGCAGCATGCCCACTTCAGGTGGTTTCCAATAGTTTGTACCATCCACAAGCGGTGGCAAATATGGTACCATTGCCAGAACAGTTTAACTATCAGATGAACAATAATAGTCAAGTCCCAGTGCGAGAGCAAGTCATAAATGTAGTAGGACAGCCTCTACATGCCAATGACGAAACACTCTACAGATATCAGCAACCAAGTATGGCAGAGAAGACAAAAGATACACATGAGAAAGTGCATCCATTCAAGAAAAAATGAAACAATCTCGTAGGTTCAGAGAGTTTGAGCAAGACAGTTACAAATTTAATGTGCGAAATTTAAATGACTGTGCAGGCTCCCTATCCAATTCCATCCTGCCTAAATTGAGGGAAAAAATAGTAAAGGACGAATTTATAGAATTCAGCAAACTGATTGAAGATGAGGATAGTGATGAGGAGGCTGCTCAGTCAAAGGTCATCATCAAAGATAGTAATAATGCACTGTCAATCAAGGATAAAAATTCCAAGAAATTCTTGTCATTTCATAAATGGCTAAAAGCGTTCTTTATTTATGCTGAAATTTATGTATCAAGTTTCCCAGGGGCGGGTTCGAATATTTAAGCTTAATCCTGGAACTAAAAGAGAATAAAAATTGGGGGAGATACGACCATAAGTTCAGGAAAGCAAGAGCAACCGATCCGTGCAAGTGGTCATATTTAGACCAACAATTGCGGGACATGTGCGCGACAATGCCAAAAAAGGAAATTGGAAAATTTGACAAGAGGCCTAATAATGTGGGGAAAAACCCAAAAAATGACTTCCCCAATACGCCAAATAAGGCATATTCAGAATCTGATGAAATAAAACCCTATATCCCATTCGGGTATTGCTTCAAATTCCATAAAGGGGAGGACTGTAAACCTAATTGCACATTGTCGCACAAATGCCCCGCAGTTGCCCATAGCAATATTTCTCATGCAGCAAATTCATGCTCAGAAGCCAAAAAAACGGCCCTGTCGGGGTTCGTGACGAAAGTGATTACGACAATTCGCTCGACAAAGGGCGCGAAATAAGCGACCACCCATCATTTTCTTCAGACCAGAACACAAATCGAGTTTTCCTAAAAGCCCCAACAAAAATTGGTAAAGGTTTAGGTTACAGAGAGAAGCATATACAGGGTGTCTCAAAAAAATGTGCCCAAAAGTATATCAAGAGCACAGATAAACCAATCAATATTTTCAGACCATTTTTTGCATGGTCATGTAGCCAAAACATGAACGTTTTCTCCTCAATACACCATTTTTATTTCAGTCTTGTCGTTTTGATGCTTTAACCCTTTACCTTTTACACCACATAATTGATGCAACCTCATATTTCGATGACAGCCTGTATCCTTACTGCTACATTGTTCATCACATTTGATAATAATTCCGGTGGAATGTTTTGGATTTCTCTTTAGATGTTGCCCTTAAGTTGTTCTAGGTCTTCTTGCTTGGAATGAGCATTAAAACACTCCTTCAAATAGCCACAGAAAAAGATGTTTGAGGATGACGATGACAGAACAAACACAGATAATCAGGTCAATTATCGGCAAATGATTCAGGAGTTACCTTACAGAGTTAGGCAGGCTAGCCTGGAGACCAAATGATATCCAAATGAAAACTCAGTGGTCTCAAATTGATACACACAACAAAAGCTACACTAGAATACCAGCCAATGCAGTTTCTTGAACCTCTGACCTCTCTGTATAAGGGGGCTACAAGACATTGTGAGGGCCTCCCTATTCACCATATTTGACGACCCATCCTTTTTTCTCTGGGGCTATTTGAAGGATCATTTTTATGCCAAAGCCAAGCTAAGAGACCTAGAACAACTTAAGACCAGCATCCGAACAGAAATCAAAACATTCCACCAGAAATATCAAATGTGATGAACAATGTAGTAGTAAGGATGCAGACTGTCATCGAAATATGAGGTTACATTGAATATGTGGTGTAAAAGGTAACGGGTTAAAGTATCAAAAAGGCAAAACTGAATTAAAAGCTGTGTATAGGGGAAAAAACTTTCATCTTTTATCTACAAGACCATGCAAAAAATGTCTGAAAATATTGATTGGTTTGTCTGTGGTGTTGATATACTTTTGGGTACATTTTTTTGAGACACCCTATATATGGTGAACACGGTGCAAGTAGTGTACCACCGAGTATTAAGTCAAATTCTGAAATAGTTACGCCGGTAAAAATCGAGAATCAGGTACCAATGTTGGACGGTTACAATCCAGACATCGTACATTTCTTACATGAAGGTTTTTCTCACGGTTTCCATATCCCTTTTGTTGGAGATACGCCTAAAACACATGGCAAAAACTTAAAATCAGCTTTCACGCAGGTAGGCATTATGACAGAAAAAATTAAGAAAGAAAAAATTGTGGGTCGCTTAGCAGGTCCATTTAGAATAAAGCCAGAAGGTTTAGTGGTTTAGTGCCGATAGGCCTGGTACCAAAGAAGGTGAAGGGTGAGTTCCGGAGGATCCATCATTTGTCATCTCCTGAAGGTGGATTGGTGAATGATGGTATCCCAAAGGAATTGTTATCAGTTCACTATGACAAGGTTCAAGATGTGGTCGAAGTAATTAAATCGTCAGGAAAACCTTTGTATATGGCGAAAGTCGATGTGAAAAGCGCATTCAATATAGTGCCAATTCATCCAGAATCTCAGAAGTTACTTGGCTTCAAATTCGAAAATGCATTTAATGTTGATCGTACTCTGCCTATGGGTTTGTCAATCAGTTGCAAGATGTTTGAAATAGTTAGCACGGCACTGAATTGGATTGCATTGAATAAGCTGAACATCACATATATGAAACATATTCTTGACGATTTTATAATTCTTGAAGATTCGGCGGAAAGATGCAGAGTTTAATAGCATTTGAAGGTTTTTAGTTAGATGTAAAAAGTGTAAAGGGAATATTCCTCAGTTTTTGAGTGATAATTGAAGAATGATGGAAAAAAAATAAAACGAAGAAGTTTTCCATCATTCTTCAACCACCAAATGAAATGTCCCAAAGCTTCAGTCTCTGGAATGGGAGTGTTGGTACCATCAAAGATCTTAAACCAGCCAAAGGTCAGTCACAAGCCTGACGACAGAGACAGCCAAGCTTATACTACCCAAAGCTCCATCCCACTCATCAGCTCACGAACAGTCCTATAGATGTAGCAAAGCACTTGATGTTTATATACAATGAGAAAAAAAGACTTGAAGCTATTCTTAAGTATAAGGATATAAAGTTGGGAAAATCCAAGCAATGTCATTGGATATGGACTAAAACATAATTCTAGATCTGGGAGACCATCAAAAATAGGTGACAAAGAAAAGGAACGTATTCTTCATGAAGTGAGAACCAAGCGTAACATCAGTTCAAGGCAGCTTGGAAAATTACTTGGGATCTCCCATTGCACTGCAGCAAGGGCTAGAAATCAACTTGGCTTCAAGGCAAAAATGACAAAAGTAAGACCTGTTCTATATAAGGAAAATATGCGGGTACATTTGAAATGGGCCAGAAAATATAAAATTCACAATGGCGAAATCATGTGATACTTGATGAAAAGTGGTTTGAATGCTTCCGAAATACTAAAAAGGGGTATTACAGAAAGAAGAGCCCAGCAACGTTTGCGCATAGTTTTAGTGCTAGATTTCCTCCTTGAGTTAGGTTTCTTGCAGCGGTTGCAAAATCAGCCCCTGATGGGAAAATTGGATTGTGGGAATGTGTGGAAAGAAGCAGTACGCTTATAATAGTAAGCATCACAAGCAGGGGGAGGTTTATCTAAAAGATCGCAGCGTAGACACAAATTATTATAGTGAGCTACTGAAAGATAAAGTGTTTCCTGCTATTAAACGCAAGCTACCCGACACAGCACAGGTAATTGTGCAACAGGATCGTGCACTGCCCCATGTTGCTGAAAAAACAAAAGAACTCTTTTCCAAACAAAAACGTATATCTGCACGTTACCAACCAGCCAATAGCCCAGATCTGAATGCCAATGACTTGGGAGTATTCAAATCATTAGCAGATGCTGTTGAGGATAAACAGCCAACTACACGTGAACACCTTGTTAAGGTTGTTCGGGATGAATGAGCGAAAATGAGTCATCGCAAGATAACCTCAATTATAAATACTGTGTGTCAGCTCAACATTAAAAAAAGGGGAAATAGATTTATCATATAAATAGATTTATAACAGTACTTTGATTACAATACACTCAGCACATATTGGATTAAGCAGAATTAAGTTCACAGACACTTCATTTACATTTCTCTTACCTATTATTCTTACTTAGCTCTATGTAGAACATGCGCCGATATTCTGTAATTTTGACGTCACAAAGTAGAAAAAGTCACATTGGTGTTTAAGGTATACTCTATGTTTTATATGTGATATTTTGAGAACAAATGAATTAAAAAATGACTTGAAATTTTAACAGTACATGTATTATGAGCCTCAGATTATGTGTAGAAAGTTTTGTCAAGAATAGTAGCCATTTACTGAAGTTACCTGAGGCTTTTCTCAATAGGAAAAGACTTTTGATACAGAGGATATAATAGTTTGCCTGTAAGGTTGGGCAAGCCATCTATAACGTTGATAGTATAAGATGTTGATTTTGCAAAACTCTTATGGGCTTATTCTACAATATGTCAAGTAACATATATGTAAGGGTGCCAGTATGTAGTCCAGTATGTAGTAAACAAAGGAGTATTTTGGTCAACTCAATACATCTGATAAACACTACATGAAGTGTTTTCTATGTAATGATTATATACAGGCTGCTTATTCATTGTTACTGCGAATTTCAAAAGCTTCCAAATTGTGTGGAATAGAGCATGCAATGTTTTTCAGTTTCAAGCAGGTTTTAGTACATTCTGACCAATTGTATTTTCAGACTTATTCATTTCATGATTATGTAATACTGACCTACTTATCTGCTTAACATATCTTTAAAATTCATCACATTTGAAATTAGAGCTGAATTATTTTATTTCTGGTTGGTATTAACGTCCTACGTTATTGAAATCGAATGCGAATTGTAGAACATTCGCTTAAATGAGTATGAGTATACTGAAGTGATATATAAGGATATAGTTGAATGAATTCAGGCATTCTACTTGTAGCAACCCTGCATTTAGAAATTTAGCCGTTCACCATGCCGTTGGATCAAGAATCTCTAGACCAAATAGGTCACATGCTCGACAGCAAGGTGAAATCTCTCAAGAGGGAGATATCTGTAGAAAATGATACGCTGATGAAGAAATTGAAAGTCGAAACACCAAAGCCGAAAAGGAAAAGCAACAAAGAGCAATTTAAGGTGAATCAGACAGCTATTGATGCAATGGACGGAGCAATAGATAAACTCAAATTGGCTTCATCGCACTTCATCCACAATATATATGAGATATTATGTTGGCTTTTGGTAAGGACCTGTTTAATTAAGAAATAATGTACAATCATTCATAGATCATTGTCAAGAAAAGTCTTTATTATGATTGATCATTTGCATTATTTTTATATTCCTTTATATTATAAAAGGGAGATGTAATGATATCCAGTTTCTGGTATCATCTTGCTAGCTGCCTTTGAGGTATTATGTTACTTGTACATGTGTGGGATTACAAATATACAACTTGGTCTTCTAAAGCTAGAACTTGTACTGTCCAGATCATTACAGACAGTCAAAACTGTTTATCATGACACTAAAAATAGTACACAGTATAGTGTTCCTATGTCACCCAGGCATACAGTATCTACTCTGAGTCATTCAGACCAGGTCAAAATCAGGCCTAGAAATTAGCAAACAAGTCAGATATGCTATTTAACATTATGTTATTATGAACATGCTTTAGAACATGATATGTCATACTAGTAACGCAGTGTGTTGTGTTGCATTGATGTTTAGTCTTTTAGTGACTTGACATTACATCATTATAAATGTGAACTGTTTATACAGTGCGTATCAAAAAAAACGTAACAGTTAAAAACATTGTAAAATCACAAAATTAGTGATGGCTACATCAATTTCATTTACTGTATCATAAAGCCATATTTCTCCTCTTTCCAATGATATGTCATTTATTCATATCTGGACATGGATCACTGAATAATCATTGATTTTTCTCGCATGGGTGAAAAGGCCTTTGTGCCAAGTTATGAAATATCCTCAATCAACTGCTCCTTATTGTGCAATTAGGTAAATCATTATGTAACTGGGACTGGGGATTAAAAAATCTTGTCACATGACATAACATAAGTGTCAGACTTAGTTTTACTGAGAAAAAATATTTCACATTATGTGTTTTATGTTCCATGATGGTTCAGTTAACAACAAACCAGAGTTTTTGTGGTGACTGAATACACTCGCACCAAGAGTTTAAGGGTTGTTCAGGAATCTTTCAGGGAAAGATATTCAGACCGTCCCCCCCCCCAGCTAGAAGCACAATTTTGCGAAATGTTAGGAAATACCAGGAGGCAGGGACAAGCCTCAACCTAAACAAAGGAAATTCTGGGAGACGACGAACAGGACGATCCGAGGAAAATGTCGAAAGAGTCCGTACTCGCCTTCATGAGAATCCAAGAGACACCAGTGCCAGAAGGAATGGTATTGGACTTCCACAAGCAACATTTAATAGAATCACAAGGCTTGACCTCAGGTGGCATCCTTATCAGATGAGAGTCAGACACAAGCTTCCACCAGGGGACATGCCCTGAAGACTGGCATTGCCAATGATTAATTACAAAACAATGTCAGGCAGACAACAGATTCCTTACCTACTTTGTAATAGATGAAGCTGCTTTCTCCATGGATGGAAAGGTCTTGTCACACAATGTGAGAGAATATGCTCCAATAGGTCATCCCCCAGATTTCAACTATGATGTCAATTTCAATTGTCAAAAGGTGAATTGCTGGATTGGATAATGTGGGAATAATTTGATTTCGGGCCCCTTCTTCTTCGAACATAACTTAAATGGAATTGGTTACCTACAGATCTTGAATGAACATGTGATTCCTGAATTAATTGAGAACTTCCCGAGACAGCGGCGAGGCGTGTTTACTGTTTAGACGTCTATGGTGGGCACAGGATGGTGCTCCTGCCCATCGATTAATTGCAGTGAGAAACAGGCTGGCTGAAATTTTTGGACATCAAGTAATTGCCCTTAATCATGATGTGGAATGGCCACCATGATCGCCTGATTTGACTTGTTGTGACTTTTTCCTTTGGGGCTATCTCAAGAGTAAAGTATTCGCAACTCCTCCACCAGACATTGCAACGCTACAAGAAAGAATAACCAATGAGGTTACTACTCTCAGACAAGACCCACATATGATTCAGAAGGCTGTGCTTGACATGAAGAGACGAGCCAATCTCTGTGTGGAGAGAAATGGGGGCCATGTGGAGGAGCATGGAATGTAATCTTCCTGGAAATGACAGACAATAATTGTGAGTATGAACACTTAACTGTTTATGACACAGCTTTTTCCAACAGCAATTAGCCCTATTGAAGGCAGTGATTTTTGAAATGTTTAAAACTTGGCGCAGAGCTGATTTTGGCCAGTGGTGTAGAATGAATGATTATTCAGTGGTCCATGACCACATGTAGATAAATGACATATCGTTGGAAAGAGGAGACATGTGGCTTCATGGTAAATTAAATGAAATTGATGTAGTCATCACTGGTTTTGTGATTTTACAATATTTATAATTGTTGCGTTTTTTGATACGCCCTGTATAACTATGCTCTTCAGAGAGACTCTTGAGTTTTCATATCTTAAAAATGGGAGATGTCATATAATGGATATGTGTTCAATTACTCCATACTGGTGAGCGTATCTTTGGGAATAGTTATGTGATCATATATGTTATGTGGTCATTTTTTACAGTGTAACTGTGTATATTATATTACGTTATGAATAAATAATTAGTTTAGAACTCAGTAATCTGCTATTAATGAAGTTGAAAATATTGATGATATTCTTGATTCTTAAGAGGAAGCTTACTTATGAGTAATTGTCTACAGAACATGAAGGTAAAAGATCAAATCTACAATCGAAAATGATCAGAAGCTTGAGAATAATATATCCAAAACTAATGAAAAGCTTAACATTTCAGATGTTCGGCATCAGAAAAGCATCATTTGTCTCAAACACAAGCAAACTGATATGGAGGTATACTCCAGGAGAAGCTCTTAGGTCTTTGCACATCAAGGGGATACAACAGTCTACTTAACCTGAAAAATGCAAGGAACTTGTTAAAAAATTGATTATGATAAGCCATGCACAGACTTGAGTGACATTAAATATGAAAGACTGCATCATATATATAGATAATATCATAAAACAACCACGGAAAATCTTTTGTCATTTTAGGACATAACTTCATTATTGCAGGGAGAAAATATGGCATTGAAGATATCCATAGACTTCCCTACAATCCCAATCAAAGCAAAAGGTGGGCAATATTGTAACATGTTTCAACAGCAAAACTTCAAATTTGTGCACCATAATTGAGAATGGTCGGGTCTTCCACTTTATATAACAATATATTGGCTTCACAAAAGCTTGCATGTTCTATGACGAGGATGCAGCAAAAAGAGTCTGTGGTCATGGCTACCCAAAACCTATATACATATAAGTGAAAATATAGGATTCTCATATACAGGTTTCTTAAGGCACCTTAGGAAATGAGAGCTGAGGGAATTCTAGAGAAGCAAAGCCATCTGTGAATGTGATCCCCACGACATACATTTTGGAAAAGGGGGCAAATAAGCTGATCTTGAAGCACATGACCTGGAAGTAAGGTCCTCAAAACAATCAGAGAAACTCTCCTTTAACCTCCTGAAGGTCAATAATATCTCTGTCTAGATCTTGATATTTAGTTTACTAAAAAAAATCCAACAAAATTTAGAAATAGGAGACTGATATGTGAGAGGGTTGTGCAATACATTTTGTAAGTGTATATATAAATCACAACGGTTCATCACTTACCTTGTTTTTAAAAAAAAGGTTAATCCCTTACTAAGGGATTAATAGTATAGCATTTCAGTACATAATTACTCACCTTTATGAACAAGGATGTTGCAGCAGTCATGTACATACATTTAGGATATATCAAAAATGAGAAATAATTAATTCAGTTTCATATTTGGCTATCTACATTTGTGTTGTTTCTCAATATCATTTTCTACATTTGAAGTTGGAATAATATCAACATGAATGAATGATTTTCTCTTCTTTTTTTATGGATGAGTCAAAATACCAATGTAACTGGTCCTCACCTGGTTATAAAGATGTTACATTTTTATAACAAAATGGTAGGACTTCTGTCAGAGGAAATATTAATCTTCACTTGATCTATTTGTATCCAAATATTTTACCTGAAAGTTAATATATAGTAACATTCAGTTACTAAAAGCCTATCAGTGACAATTACATCCATCCAAGGGCTCTAATAATTTAGTGAGACACCCTCCGCTTTAACAACCAGGACCATTGGAGCTGCTGGATATATTTGCTTGTGACTGACTAGCCTTCAGTAACCCGATGTTAATTAATAAACATATGGATAAACATTTGGGTACAGATCAAATTTCTTTGTTGGTGAATATGACGAAAATAAACGCTTATTTTCTCTAATGGAAGTTCATCCACTTTGTTATAGACTTTGTAACCAGGCAGGGACAAATGAAAGTCACTATATTTCTCGGTTAGACAAAGTCATCTACTGTTTTTAAACCATATGAGTTGAAGTTGAAGGCAGAATCAGATCGAACAAGATCCTGAGAACAACTCTTGACAAAGATTGTTTCAATTTTAGAATATGTTGGGCTCATATCATTCCTTCTCATATCTATTTTCTAATAAAAAATATCCAAAGTATATACCAAATTTGAGGAAAACAAAAGATTTTTAAAATAATGCATTTTTCTATAAATATGGTAACCATTTTCATTATTTGAGAAAATATAAACATCCTCCCATTTTGGCACTTTGAATCCATAATAACTTCATCAATTAATAACATATCATGGATCTTTTGGGAAATATTATATATTTGAAATTGTAAGGAATATAGTGATAGGTCAACTGAACATGTTTGCAATTTTGTCACTCCCTTTAGATCTGATTCTTCCTTTAATATCATTTCCCTCCAATTCTGAATGGTTTAACTCTGAAAACTGTGGTTTGAATATACTTCATAAATGAAGTCATTACTGGAATTTGTGAACAAAACTATCAAAACAAGGCATTAACACGTCAAATGTCACCAAATGTTACAAAGAGCGACCACCAAACTCCAAACATCTGATTACCAATCACCTTACACCATCAGCAAAAACTATAACAATATGTCACCACTTGTATCGGTGACATAATACAAAATCAAGTTATCATGAGACAGTTAAATAATATATCAAAAAGATGGAACCAAAAATTGTCATTACAATTCTTTTTGTTGATATACATGTAAAATAAAGAAGACGTTATTTTTATCATACTGATATATACAATATTTCAATCGGTCAGAAATTGCTCTTAAAACACACATACTACTTATAATTTCAAATAATTTATTAGCATATTCCTTTGCTTTTGCTCACCCACATAATGTACAATTTATATATAAATTAAGGACAATAATTGTATGAATAGGTTTTACTGCTACAATACCATAAAATCAAATACTATGATTTTGCAAACTAAATATACAATACTAAATGGATCACTAAAATGTGACATGTGATACTGTACGTATATTGTCAACAATTTGACTATTCACTAGGTTAAAATACTTTTTGTTATATTCTTGTTAAGCTGTAAATGAAAAAAATTACTTTGGTAGCTAATTGTTAAGATGTAAATGAACAAGTCACTTTGTCATTTCAATGTAAACCTAGAAATGACGAAGTCGCTTTGTTTTCTCATTTATATAGTTACACCTATCAGGAATAGCACATATCACATATTAGCAAAGCTAAAAGAAAATCCCTTTGATCACCCTGACAAAGCATATCCTTCCAAAAATTAAAGTTTCAAATAATCTGACTTCTCCACAATATAATGTGTAAAACGATTTCATCATGCATGGTTCTACTCTTGCTATTTTTCTTACAAAACATGACATAAATGTTGCACTACAAGACTGTTGGAGAATGTCAATGCAATGAATTAACTGTGTACTCCTAAGTTTGGATTATTCCGAGATCTAAATTGATGAAGAGTGTGAAGGTTTCCATATTTCAAAATAAAAAAGAATAATTCATTTTTTGAAGATTTTTATGCATGGCTGAAGAAATGTTCCACTTGTTGTACAAATTGTTTGCTTTGACAGTGATATAGACAATTGTGTCCCATCTACATATAGACTTTTATTGTCGATTTGAATGATTTTCCCTTAATATGAGTGTCATCAGATTTTGTCGAAGTCTGCATCTCCCCAACCACCATCATCCTCCCAACCTATAGCCTCCTGGAAATATATACATGTCTTTAAATACTGTGTCTAGTGTAAATAGAACTAATAACAAACAGATTTTTTCTCATGATCTGTAGAAATTTATCTAACAAGAGCTAGCTTGTGATAAGTCATACACCCGCTAGGGGGTCATTATCACTGATATGTATAGATGTTTATATGATTTTAATAAATAAATTTTAAAAAAGTCATGAGAATTTGCAATTTACACAACTTGTTTAATTAAGAGATTGAAATAACAATGACAAAACATTAGTCAATTTAAATACAGGGTCATGTTAAAAAAAAAACGCAACCCAAGGAAATCGCTATATCTTGGAAAATACTCATTCAATTATGTTCATATTTTCAGGGAAGAAAGAGGAGACTGTGTATGTATAGCCCCTGTTGTTAGATAGTTGTAAAACATGATGTCTTGGACACTTGGTCAAAAGACAGTTGTACTAGCAAAATACGAAAAACGTGAAAATCAGAAAGAAGAGACTGTGTATGTATAGCTCCTGTTGTCGGTAAGTTGTAAAACATGATGCCTTGGACACCTACTCAAATGACATTTGTTCTAGGAAAACATGAAAACGCAGTCAAAGGTGACTGCCACAGCAATAAAACCAAATGACTTTCTAACCATGGTGTTTTGGCACTTCAGATTTGGCACAAATTATCCTCATTCAATGTGTGGTGAATTTGTGGAGTTTCATCAAAATCACTCCAGGGACTTTAGTCATGGTCAAAATGCCTTCTTAAGTCTCCCTGAACCAGGGCATTTGACTGCGATTTGAAACCATTTCAACCATGACTGTAAAGTCCCTGAAGTGATTTTGATTTCACTTTACAGATTTACCATACAGTGAATGAAGATGATTTGTGCCAAATTTGAAGAGCCAAAACACTATGGTTAGAAAGTTATTTAATTTTTTTGAGGTTGCAGTCACCCCTGACTGCGTTTTTCGTATTTTCCTAGTGCAACTGTCTTTTGAGCAGGTGTCCAAGGCATCATGTTTTACAACTAACCATTTACAGGAGCTATGCATACACAGTCTCTTCTTTATTTCCTGAAAATTTGAACATAATTGAACCAGTATTTTTCAAGATATAGCGATTTCTTTGGGTTGCGTTTTTTTTTGAACACCCTGTATTTGTATTTTCTCGTATTTCAAATTTATGATTTTGAAATATGAGTGGTGTATGCTGATGTAGATGTTGATGAACATAGTTTATTTAATTTAATGTGTACAGGTACAGAGCAATGGTAAAATCTGTGATATAATAATTAAATTATTATATACTATAAATGAGGAATGATTTCACTCACCTCACTCATATCTGTAGCTGCAAAGGAGAAATCGGTTTTATTCTTGTTTCCAGGACTAGTGTTTATTTTAAGCGTTGGTTTGACAGTTGGTGCCATATCAGAGAAAAAATCTATTTCCTCACTCTCAGTCTTCGCCATTGGCTTTATTTCTATGGCTAAAACATCGAACTCCTCTCCAAGAGCTCGTTCTGAGATATTTTTACCTTGATTTGTTTTTTTCAAATTTTCCGATTTGGTTTTGTATTGTGATGTCATTGCACTATTAAGATTAGAATATGACTTCATATCTGGTACTGCATTTTCCATTTTAATATCAGTTGAAGGTTCATAATGAACATCATTCTCCCAACTCGAGTGACCCCAGACACCATGTTCATTTCCCCAGTTATTTTGAATTTCAAGACCATCGAATTTTTGTTCACTTTGTGGGACTTCAGATTCGGGCATATTTTGGTCCCAATCAACCCATTCATCTTCATCATCTCCACTATCAATGATTTCATCATCAAAATCTGCACTCTCAGTACTTTTAACATTTTCCTTTGCTAAAGTGTCCTTTTGAGATAGTTTAAGAGCACCTTGGTGTGGTTTTGTATTAACATCTTTATGAGAGGATTCTGATGGTGATGTTCTACTCCTTGCATTTGACCAATCAACTGTTATAGGTGGCGATGTACGCTCTTTTTGACCAATAAATGACTTGGAAGATCTAGAAGAATTCTGGGAATTTGATGATGAATCCAACTGCTTGAGCTCCTCTTCTATTTCATTTTCAACATCACTATCATTCTCATATTCAAATGATTCACTATGTTGATTATTTCCAATTGTTTCTTGAGTGTCATTAGCAACATTGTTGGGTATTGGTGCCTCCAAATGTGTCACATTTCCATTTGGTTGAAGAGTGTCATCAGATATAATGTCAGCTGCAATGGAATAAAAATCAATGAATTTTCGTTTTACTTATTCAATCAGACAATTGTAGAGGGTGGGCCAAAAATAAACAATACCCAACTTTAAATCAGACTGAAAATAGCTATGTTCAATATGATACATTGTTTTATATATCATTTTAAAGGTAATCCATTTTCGAACAATTTGGTATATAACACTATGTCATGAAACCAATATTAACGTTTTATTTTGCTCATTTCTGAGGCCGGGTCGGTATTTAAGGTATCCAGGTTTTAGGGAGAAAATAGTAAATCTGTGGAATAATGTTAATTTTTTATTTATAGAATATCATTTTGTTAGGTGAATAAATCCTTGTATATTTGCATATTGTGTGGCTAAACTTATTGTTTATGAATTTTAGTGTTGTTTATTATCAATAAGTACTCAAAGGGGGTCTGTTAAAAGACATTAAACGTATATGTGACGAGGATTTTATTTTCCAACAAGACATTGCCTCGTACCATATATCTCAGGAGACATTGGCATTCCTTTGCAAACAAGGTGTCAATTTGATTGATCTCGATGCTCGGCCACCCAACAGCCCCGATGCTACATGTAATGTGTTTGATTACCATACATGGAGCCATCTCGAGGAAATGGTACAATCAAAAGCATCCAATAAACAGCTTTGATGAGTTGAAACAGCATCCTAAAGTGCTGAAATGAATTGCAACAGAAATCTCTCAATAAGGCTATTGATAGATTACGCTACCACTTGAAGCTTATTGTTGATGCAGAGGGGAGGGGGTGGGGGTATATTGAGCAATTGTGAAAATTGTTTAGATAGATAAAGTGTAAAATGTTATTAAACAACACTGAAATTCATAAACAATAAGTTTAGTCACACAATGATGCAAAAATTAATATCCAAGCATGTATTCACCTAACAAATGAATGATATTCTATAAATAAAAAATAGCATAATTCCGCAGATTTACTATTTTCTCCCTTAAATCTGGAGACCTTAAATAGCAACCCGGCCTCCGAAATAAGTATAATAAAACTTTACTATTGATTTCATGACATAGTGTTATATACCAAATTGTTTGAAATTGTATAACCTTTAAAATGATATGTAAGTCAATGTACCATATTGAATGTAACTATTTTTATTCTGATTTGAAGTTGGGTATTGTTTTTTTTGGCCCACCCTGTATATTGACATGTTGTAACAGTTTTATCAATCGATATAGGTGACAATATTGTACCACAAGAATACTCCATATCATTTAAAATTTAGATTGAAAGTGAATGTACCTTCTTTCTTTTTCCTTGCTTCCTCTCTTTTTCTACGCTGTTCTTTCCTCCTTCTTGCCATATCTTCTTTTTTCTTCTGTTTTTCTATCATTTTTCCCTCATCAATTACTTTAGGGCTAGAACAAAATACATTTTCCTAAATACTGAATTGGGACATATGGAGAAAACAAATGAAGTTAATAGTTTTAAAAGACTTATTTGTGGTTTCTACACAGTTTGCAAAACTAGCTGTTTAAGTCATTACCTCTTCACTATATGGTTATCTACTTTATGTCTAATACTATCAGGTATAGGTGCATTTAGAACACTGCTCAAGTTCTTCCCAAGTCCCACCAATCTGTCCGTTGTAAACTGAAAATAATTTGTACATCAAGATAAGTGTGTACAACATATCTAGAGCTCTTTGTCTTAACTAGTGCCTGATGATCATTAAGGAAGAATTGTAAATAATAAAGATGAAACCTATATATAATAGAAGTATTAATATTATAATGAGCGAAGTATATTTCTACACTAAACAAACTGCATACATTATCAACTCACCTTTGGTTTTCCCTCAGCAAAAACTTTCAATCTTGTTCCTCCTATGACATGCTCCCCACCAAGAATTGGTACTATGTCTGCCAGGGCCCTGAGACTTGCTGCTACAATCTCATCATTTGTATCCCGAAGCCCAAGCAAGAGCTAAAATGTCAACAATGCACAACAAATATCAAAATTTGCCAAATAAATTAGAATTTAAAAAATGTATTCTTGATAATTTTAGAAAAATCAAAACATAAAGGCAGTTTGTAACAGTTTGTGTCACTGTATTTTTGCCCAATCCATGCTGGATATTTGACAACTAACCTGTTTCTGTATAACTCCTGCTAAAGTATCATCATCAAACAGATGAAAGTAGTTGTGGAAGTGCCTAAGAAGAACTAGTCGCACGTGGGAATCCCGTACATGGAATATTTTGTAAATTTCTGGAATGATATGTGCCTGATACAGGCTCTCTGACAGGAGTGGTGTTAGGTCAGCAGAAACAGATTCTCGGTTTTCTGAAAGCATATCAATTAACATATTTATTAATTCAAGATAATGATGCCTTCAGTTCATATATAATGTGATTTAACATCCAAAGATTGCTTTAACAGTGAACTTATACATTACTAATTTATATGAAACAATTAGAGGATATTTTAAGAATATATTTAACGTTCAAATATTAATCCTGCAGGCAGGTGTATTCAAAATACTTGAACAAATCAGTAATACGTAATTGAGATGAGGTTTGGAAAGATTTGGTTTTAATTTGCTTCAGTTTCAACTAAATCAGATCAATAACAATTCAACAAATGGAAACTTGATACATAGTAATGCTTTTGACGCTGAATGGACACTATTTTATAACACAAACATCCAGATTGTCAATTTTCTGGACAGCATAGAGAGATGCATGATTGAATGTTCCATACTTTTGGTGAAGCTTTGGTTTTGTGTGGTATCTAAATCATGAGATGCTTGCTTTTGGGGTGCCCTGAGTGGATCAAACTATCATGGTCACTAAGCGCATAAATTTTAAAGCTATAAATATTTCAGACTTAGACATCTAATTGCAATCCCATGGGCATGTAATCAATGTTTTTTAATTTGTTCTGTGTGCATTTTAACTACCCAAAGATAATACTTGAAAGAAACATTAAGACTTAAGTGGGTGTAACCTCTGATAAATCATTTATGAAGACTTGGCCTGTTGTGAAAATGTATCATCAATATGTGTCTTAAAAAGTATTTTGAAATAGTGGAGAATCAAGGAAAAAACTATGTTTCATTTGAGGAGCTGTATTCTAAAATCAATTCAGACAGATTACGTGATTGAGACTTTGTGATTATAAAGCAGGTTCTTTATTTGGAGTCAAAGAATACATTTTCAAAGACTCACGACAGATTTCTCACTGCAATGCAATTGCTCAAAATATTGTGAATTATTTTGAATGATATCAAGGATTTTCCAAGTATTCTACAACTATATAAAGAAACTTCATCAAATGGATTTAGGAGCAAGCAGATTGAAACCATTTTACTCAAATCTCTGGAAATTGATAAAGATTTAATAGCTTTACTATTTACAGAAAATAATGTAAACTTTGATGAGGAATCTTGGGAGGAGAATATACGTTTTTAAATATAACTTCTCAAAGTTCTTACTTGAGGTCTCTGTAAGTGATGACCATGCCAACAAAAAGATGGGACTTTTTTCATTCTTTAAAAGAGGTCCAATCAATGGCAAGGCATATTAACTCAAAAGTAAATGAAAACTGTAAGGCTCAATGTGTTGAAACAGAAAAATTGTCAAACTTCGACACCTCCATTCCTCAGTGGCTCAATTTAGCACAGTGCCTGAACTATAGAAGAAGGCATATCGAAGGAACTCAAAGAGTACTCTTTTGAAGGAATAAGTACAACCATCTGTACTGATGACGATGCAACAGAACAGCATAATACTGTGTCTTGGGGTTGACAACAAATTTAAGCAAAATGAAACTGAGGAAATAGTGTTGGGAAACAAAAATGTCAAAGATGTTTTTGATATAACTTCCAAAGCAGGAATCTCCACAGGGCTTACAAAAGCTGAAGACCATTTGATTCAGCTGGCGTCTGATGATAATTGCACCTGGAGAAAGTCACTCCAAACAAATGGCAATGCTTCTATGCGGCTATCAAGGGTTACCAAAATATCACTCTATCTGCATTGAATGGCAAGAAGACCAATGTCCAGATAAACACAACACTGATATTAACTGTACATGCAAAGAACTGACAACATTAAAACCTGATGATTTCGAAGCTACACTGTTTAAGCTAAATGAGCAGGAGCAAACTATAAAAGGCAGATACGAGTCATTGTCTGTGTGTGGAAATCTTGCTCTTTTGAAATTCATAAAAGTGAGTATTGCGTAAAGGTTAAAGAGATTGATTGCTTTTAGGTTTACCAAGCTTAAACTGATTAGTATTTCATATATATATAGTATATACACAATTGATAATTAACATTTCAAATGATTTGCATAAGCAAATCATTCTGAGCATTTAATATTGTATTTTCTTTATATAGTTCCAGTAATATTTGGTCTTTATTTGTATATTTTGTGAAATTTTCATTAAAACTAATTATTTTATTAGGTGCTCTTTGGAAGCAGATACAGTTAGCGATTAATGATGAATCTAGTGCCATAGATTGGACAAGTCAGCGTGATAGTTTTTTACATGACAATGCTAAATATATAGCCATAACCAGTGACCAGCTAGAGCAAATGCTGACAGACATAGCTACTGCAGAGGTTGTATCAGACACACATGTGCAGAATGAAGACCAGATGACCAGCATAATATCTTAGCAGTCAACTGTAGCAATGGCCAAGATGATGGTAAATTCGATGAGGTGAATTCTTTTTATTATATAGATATAGAAAATCATGCTTCAAATCCTGATGTTGCATTGCTTTGGTTAGACAACGACAGTAGTTCTGATACTGAGTCATACGACTATACTACATAAGCAGAAAGGCTTTCATCAGATACTTCATCTTGCAGTGAATTTGATCTTGAATCACTAATATCTTAACCCCAACTGCCTCTACTTACACAGCAGGCTTCACCCCAACAGTCACTGGCTAAAACCAAACAGTCACATCCCCTGCCCAAACAATCACAGGCTCAAACCAAACAGTCACAAATGACACTGCAGGCTCAACCCCATCAGTCACATGCTGAACCCAAACAGTAACATGTACAACCCAAACAGTCAATTGTACAACCACATCAGTCTTATGCTGAACCCCAACATTCACTGGCTCAAACCAAACAGTCACAAATGACACTGCAGGCTCAACCCCATCAGTCACATGCTGAACCCAAACAGTAACATGTACAACCCCAACAGTCACATGTACAACCACATCAGTCTTATGCTGAACCCCAAAATTCACTGGCTCAACCCAAACAGTCACAAATGACACTGCAGGCTCAACCCCATCAGTCATATGCTGAACCCCAACAGTCACATGTACAACCCAAATAGTCACATGCTGAACCACAACAGTCATATGTACAACCCTAACAGTCACATATACAACCCCAACAGTTACATGCTGAACCCGAAACAGTCACAAATGACACTACAGGCTCAACCCCATCAACCATCCATCAACCATCCCAAGGGTGGCTTTAGCTCAGATCAAGTCAAGCCCTTCCAAACCAGTAACCATACTCCTCGTGGATTTGAGTATCCAATTTCCCATCCCACCCCCTCATTCATCTGATCCAGTGACTAAGGTGGCCATTCTGGGTCACATTTTTGTCAACAGGTTGTCGAGCGCTCCAACTGCCCTTACGGGCTTTGAATTCACACTACACAAATGGTCCGGAGTGACTGTACCACGGGTGAGGAACAAGGTAGTGAATGTATAGAACAGACTTCAAATAGACGCCAGCCTAGTGCGCATCTAGATTTGCAAGAACATTCCTACCCCTTCCTTAGTTTGATGATGCCAGTAAACTGGCTTCAGAAAATTACAATTCAAAAAACTACCAGCGCAGGGGGGAATACTGGAGATACCCCTGCGACAAAAATCAAAATCACCAGGGGAACCATTACCAACAAACCTCTCGGCAGGTCGCACAGGGATGGAAGAAATGCCAGTACCAGAGCCATTACCAGAATCGCAACCAAAAAGACAAGAAGGAATAGATCTACTACAGGTAACTGATGCTTTATCTGATCTTGATAGTACCTTTTTGGCATCACTTCAACAACCAATTGACAAAACCGGTATTGCTGGAAAAATTAAAAAATCCATCTATCATTGGACAACTATTACTAAAGACCCCAACATATTAGACACAGTACAGCATTGTCCTATTGACCTATGTGATATACCTTTCAAAAACAAACCCAAAAAACAAATAATTTATAACCCACAAGAAATGGAAATAGTGGACAATGAAATTCATAATCTTTTCACCATGGGGGTAATCAAACAAAGCAATCATGAAAATGGTGAGTTCGTATCAAACATTTTTGTACGTCCTAAGAAAGAATATCAACTTATATACTCTCATTAATGGCCCCGAATAGCAAAAACATGACAATTTTGTCCTAACAGAGATTAGGGAAGACAGATCACACAAATCCAAACATTTTAACCTAAGCAACACGTGAAAGAAAGGGCATGTTCTTATGTTTCCTAATTGGTGTAGGGCATTTAACATCTTCCATTCAATGTATACCCTGCGATTCCCAGAACAAGACCAGAGCCTATAAAAACATATGGTCACAGTCATTGAGCTCTACCAAATGGGACAAGGGTGGAGGATTTACGATGAAAAGTTTTGCGACGAGATATGACTACGTGCAAAAGATTTGACCAGCTCTGCCTCCACCATATGGGCGTTCCATCACTAGGGACCTACTTATGCCATCCCTGAATCACAGGAGGTATACATAAAAGATCCTATAAACTGATACTTCATATATATATATATATAATATATATCAATTTATGAACTATGGAGATTTCTTAAACCTCATCTAAACATTATATTTCAAAATCTTATCTCTATTAAGCATTAATGATTAACTTATGATATATTAATAACTGAATTTATAATCAACTTTTAATACAAAGGTAAAGAAGGATGTTACCCAAATGACTCACACACATGGTACATCAATATCTTGCCAGCTAGAGAGCAATAGAGTAGTATACAGAAAACCAATACATCTTATGTTACTTTATACCATCACCACCAGGATTTAATCACCACACATTCTCAATTTATGGAATATTGAAGACACCTACATTACACCTCAGACTCTATCCATCCAATTCTTTGGCAATGTGCTAAAATTCTTAGAAACAATATGTGCCTTACAAGTGATTTTTATAACATGCAATGGAGCTTCCCTCAATAGGAGGTTCTTTGAAATCCATAGAGCTCTCCCAGGATAACACAATGATCCAATATATTGGACAAAAAGCCTGTTTGACCCAGAGAG